GGAGGAGGAGGAGGCCATGGGAGCACCACGGGAGGAGGATATCAGCGTGTGGGGACGCGAGGACGCCCACGCGGCGTCACTAACACAACTTGCTCCCACGGCTCTTGCTCCCCCATGGTTGCCGCTCGCCGCTGCTCCCTTCAACACACACTCTACCCCTGCTCGTTTCCCCTAACTTTCTCTCTGAACCACTGGTTAAATCATTTGCAATGCTATGTAGATAATTTGTGTGTTCTATAATGAAGTGTATCTATCTTTTTTGTACGTGTTTATGATTCCTTTTGGAAATATTATCACGGCCACGGCAATGAATAATTGACAGACTTGCTAGCTATCCTTTTCTAATATTCTAATGGTTTTAAGGTCAGGTATCTCTGTGCAGCTTCAGTACAAGGTCTCCAGGGTGGAGAGGTAAACTAGTTTTTTTCCGCTGCTTCCTTTTATTGCTGCCACAAACCTAGTTTGTATAAGGTTTACCTTATATATTAGGCACCTCAAGCAACACCCTTTATTGACAAATCTATCGATTATCGGAGACACAAAATCCTTTCAAGAAACTATAGCTCCATTTTTCAGTCAATTCTGTACAGTTCGTATGTAATTTAAACTGATGTCTGCTTTTATTTAATTAATACACAAATTGTAATTGATATAATTGATTTACTGTAATATTTTAGTCTGTTAGATTAATTGATTCTTGCGTCGACTACATTTTCATATATACGAAAACCGCATTTTTTTATTTGTATATTGATTCAGCTTCTATAAATAACTTTTTTGTTCTTGTTGATGTTTTGCGAAGATGTATTTATAGTCTTTGATGCTGAGTCGAATCATGGCGTTATTCTGGGGATCCGCGCGTGTTTGGGGCCAGCACGCGCGTCTCTCCTCCCCTCTCTCTGGTACGATCCTGTCATCCCAACCTCGACCCCTCTCTCTCTTTCCCCTCACTTCACCCGAGCGCCTCCCCCCTCTACATCTGAGTGAACATTTTGCTGTTCAATGACAGAGATACTGTAGCTCTAATCATCCAATCTCATTCATGAGGCCTATTATATAAAGTATTGGTTTGTATCGAGCTATTGATCGCTAAGATGCAACCCCCACAACAGTTGCTTAATATAATATATTAATATAATATATAATATTATCTTATAATCATATAATATAATATATAATATTATATTATAATATAATATATAATATTATATTATAATTATATAATATAATATATAATTATATTATAATATAATATTATATTATATAATATATATTATATTATATAATATTATATAATATATATTATACTGTATTATATTGTATATATTATATAGTATAATATAATACAGTATTATATTATATATTATTATACAATATTATATTATATATAATAATATTATATTATATAATATTATATTATATATAATATTATATAAAAAGGAAGGGGGTGGTTATCTTCTCTATCTTGAGATGATTTCGGGGCTTTAGTGTCCCCGCGGCCCGGTCCTCGACCAGGCCTCCACCCCCAGGAAGCAGCCCGTGACAGCTGACTAACACCCAGGTACCTATTTTACTGCTAGGTAACAGGGGCATAGGGTGAAAGAAACTCTACCCATTGTTTCTCGCCGGCGCCCGGGATCGAACCCGGGACCACAGGATCACAAGTCCAGTGTGCTGTCCGCTCGGCCAACCGGCTCCCCCAACCGGGTGGTAGGAGAAAAGCACACAGAAAGTGTATTGGAGGGGATCTAAACATTCCCTGTAATGCGTTATGCGTGGTTTCCTCCGAGGCTATGGGTCCCCCTTCTTCCAGCCAGAGGTGGTACTCCCTTCCCTATATTATAAAAATATTATATTATATTATATATATACACACGCAGTATCTTGAAGATCTGCCTTTCATGATTTATTTGAAGAGCAGTAAGCCATATAACTCACTGGATGGGGTATCCGGCTGCAGCCAAGTCTCTTCCCCTCTCTTCCCTCCCTCCCTTCCCCTCTCTTCCCCCTCTCTTCCTCTCTTCCCTCCCTCCCTTCCCTTCCCCTCTTCCTCCCCCCCCCCACCTCGTCACCCAACCCTCGGTCCCAGCCCTGGAAAGTCCCATGCCTTGTCCTTTCCATTTCACCCATTTTCCTCTCTTTCCCCTCGCTTCTCCATTATCCCCATTATCTCGGAAAATTTATTACTGTATTATGATGCATTGAAAATTATAAAGAACTCTACGGGTAACACAACCACAACCTCGGACAGACAGACCTCTTGCCTAAATAATAATAATTATGGCAGAAACTCGGAGCGTTTCTGCCCAAAATGCTATGAGTGTTAGTGGCTTTGTATGAATATCAGTTTTTTTTAATAATCTCGCCTACCCATTGTACCTTCTTGCAAATAAAAATTAAAATTTTAAAAATTACGAAAGAATAACTTTGGTTTAATAATTTCTATAAGGTGTTTATATTTAATAAAGCTATAACGTGCAAAGCGTTTCGGGAATAATTTAAAATAATTCAGAAGGGTAGTATAAAGAGTCGATGAGGTAGACGATACTAAACCGGAAGTAAGCAAATATAAATATAGTTCAAGAAGTTTTGCAAACTATATGTAGTTTTTAAAGAGTTATAATGTATAAAAGGAGAAAAATAACACTCATTATGTGGTAACGTTTAACATTAAATGAAAAATGATAACATTTATGAACAGTTGAAAGATCTGAAAATAATTTAATTATGTAAGTTGAGAGCGATGAGTCACAATAACGTGGCTAAAGTATGTTGACCAGACCACACTAGAAGGTGAAGGGACGACGACGTTTCGGTCCGTCCTGGACCATTCTCAAGTCATTCTCAAGACAATCGACTTGAGAATGGTCCAGGACGGACCGAAACGTCGTCGTCCCTTCACCTTCTAGTGTGTGGTCTCGTCAACATGTAAGTTGAAAGATCTGAAAATAATTTAATTATGTAAAAGACACTTATAAAGCCGTTGTCTTAACAATACATATAGCTACAAATTATAACATTGTGGATGGAATTTGAAAAAAATGACATGGTATTTTATGAAATTTAGAAACGGCAGTATTTAATAACATTATATATGTAGTAATTTAGAACTCAAGATTACAATTACAGCAAAACACAGGTTAACTTCTCGTCCGATACATGTAGGATGAGAAGAGGTGAGGAAAAGATCTCTCTCTCTCTCTCCCCACCCTTTTTTTTTTTTACTGGGCAGGAGAAGCACAATTTTTACACTGGTTGACTCCTTTTAGTTCAGTTGACTATTTTAGTTAGAGATCACAACTTTTATAGATTGATTACTCTGGCTTTCTAAAGAATATCTGGGAGAGTTCGAGGCTAGAGGTATTTGTTGTATAGTAATACAATTACAAAAGCTATAAACCTTCAAATTTGTATAAAATAGGGTTGGTACCTCAAAGGTTTATTTGATTTAGTTTTAAGAGAGAAAATTTTATGTTGGTGACATCGGAGGAATTTGTTGGGGATAGGCACAGAGACTCGGGATAGCTGCCGGGAGGTAGTAATCTACATTAGTTTAGGAATCTGGGACGTAATTTACAAGGGATGTGCCAATGGATGAGAAGAAACTATTGAATTTAGAATTTAGTAGCAGTGTCAGCGGCCGATAACATTCCATCATTTAATGTTACTCAGCAAATGCAACCTGCCGTAAAATGCCAACCAAACTTTTGGAACAACGAAATTTTGACTTTAGGGAAAAGAAAGCAGCAATTCAGGTGCACAAGTGTCTGGTTCTCCCAATAGCCTGCACATGGAGACCTGTCCCCGTCGAGGCCACTGTTATTGTGGCTCTCCCATAAAGTCAGGCATGTCTCAAGTTCAAGTAAGTTTATTGAGACAAGAACAAAAATACATCTCAAAGGGATAGAGTTAAGGCTATTTCTACCCCCCTTGGCATGTCTCATAATCTGTGACTCTTGGTGGATTGGTACTTCTTACGGAATCCAGATTAAGGATGACCTTGTATTGCTAAAGCTCTATTTACTGTCTTTTGCCATCTACCTATAGCTGGTCCATGATCTTTTACCGTTAATTCTCTCTCGTTTTTGGTGCGTCTTGTTGCAAAAGTTAAGAGATGAAATTTGGGAAATTCTCATGCTTTAATTTCGTGTCGCGCAGTGGCCCGTGTGATGGGATCACTACCAAGTGTTCCATGTTCGATTCCCGTTGCAGGACAGAGGCGGATGGGCACATAACATATAACACGAGGCGGCTCTTTGTCTACCCAGACTTTTGAAACAATCAAGTGATTCCTCATCTATTATGTTATCCTGTAATTTGTTCCAGAAATCAACAACTCAGACCAGTATTTACCCAGGTCTTTTCTAGATCTAAAGTTAAACAATTGATATCCATTGCTTCGTGTCGTATTTTATTATATATTAATATCCACTACGTTACAACTTTTCATTCTCTTGTATAGTTCAATCATGTCACCCCTTGCTCTTCCTCTTTTTATAGAATGTAAATTAAGCTTTGTCAATCTCTCTTCACAAGAGTTCGGAAACTGCAGAAGGCCTGTTGGTCAAAGCAAGGCAATTCGTATGTACCCGGGAGTTAGACAACTGTTGTGGGTTGCATCTTGGGGAAGGTGATCTGTAGTTGGGCCAAACGAGCCTCGATAAGCGTCCTGTCCCCGACCATGGGGAGCCATAATTAAGTGGTCCGTCGCCCACTGGCAAGACACTCTTCCTCTGTAGACGACTACAGGCACAATAGTTTTTTAAATTTATGCCTAAAAAAGTATAAAAAAAACAATTGATTCCTTTTTTTTAATTATTTGAATCGTCACTTAATTTCGCGAATAAATGATGTCATTGCTAATAATTAATGCTAAAGTGTGAGAATTTCATTGTTGGTAAACAAAATCACTCAACATTCAAAAAATCCATCCAAAGAGATAAACAAATTCTTTCAAATATTGTTTAGCTCTTATTCAGGTATCATGACTAAACTAAGAGCTGAAAGTATTGCTTAAATATGAAAGAAAGGCCGTGGAAAAAAGTAGGCTCGTAGTGAAGAAGGAAATTCCCGGAGGATCTGTTGCGCGTCGGTTGTGATGGTGGCGTCTGGCGGCCCTGACTCTACCATGCCACAAGTAAGCTCTCCTCCCGCCCCTCACGCCCAGTTACCAGCCCGCTGGTCAGCCCTTCTCCCTCTACACCATCTCCTAACCACACTTGAAGCATGGAGGGAGCCCAGCCGCACGCACAAGCGGCATAACAGCGTCATTAAAGATGGGGGGGAGGTCGGGCTCTCCTCTGATGGCCGTAGTGATGACGGGCGCAAAATTATGATATAATATTGAGTGGAAACGTTATTGTTGCTGTATTTGGAGTGAATGTGTGATGTGTGAGGGTGGTGGTGGTGTCTGGGGCTGGGGGGTTATCAGTTCTGAGGGGGGGGGGGTCTCGCCCCCCTGCATCATCATCAATAAGTAATAATTGATGAATGTTGATGAAGATATGATTGAGATTTATGTAGCAAGGACAGTGGAGTAAATTGTCACATGCCAGTACCAGTGAAGACTGTAGGATGATCAGGAATAAAATAAGATACTCTGTATGTCATTGTAATTTTTTAAATGTCAAACTTAACAATGTTTTCCATGTACCTTTTGGACATTTGGTGATTTAAAAATTTGGACAAAGGCATTTCTGATACCGAGATGAATCCTCATCTTTCTAGATATTTTTTCAGTTAGTCACACTTTTTTAATGATTAGGTTGCATTGCTTATGGTTGAGTAGCTTATAAATATAACAAATCATCATTGAGCAGCCTTTTTCACTGGTGCAAATTTAGAAGCCAATACTTGGATGGCTACATGTTGGTACAAAAGATATTAGCACCCATTCATATTTTGTGGGAAACTAAATACAGTATATTTAGTTTGCAGTTCATTCCTGTATTTGTTCCTGTATTGCAGTTCATATGAAGTCAATATTATGTCTTGCTGACATTTCCTTTGAATTTTAATTAGGTTTGTAGCATGACAATTGCTGTAATACTAATGGCTAGTAATATTATTGAGTCGCACTGCTTCATAAGGTGCACTCATGCTTACAGTACTGTTGGGACATTGCCATTTGCCAATTCCATGACAGCTATGATACTAACCACATAATTTCATTAGTATTGATATGCAGTAGTGTTTGTCCAACATTTTTACTAAAATTTTGTATATTTTTGGATTTGCAGGAGTGAAACTTAAAAATGGATACAGGGTTGTTATCCCTCAAGTGGAACAATCATGGAACCACTTTCTTCCATGTATTGTCAACTATTAGAAGAAAGGTAGGTTGTTCATACTTTTAGTTGCTATAATTTTACTGTTCTGGCACCAAAAAAAATATGAAAAGTGATTAATTTTATATTTTTTTTTTTTTACAGTTTTGCAACACATTAGCAGCAATGTACGTTTTAAAAGCTTAACTGTAAAGCACTGTGCCCAAATCTGGTTTGTGACTATATACAGTGACTATATACAGTGTGTCACATTAAATCATTCCTTAAACTAAAGCTCATAAACATGTAAATGGCTTAGAAGATAACTTATTTGCCCTATACAGTAATCAAGACATGCTGTACAGTAATTGCAAAATGTATTTTTATGTAGAATGCTTCATATACTGTAACACTTTTTTAAAGACACGAATTTTATCAGCATTTGAAGCCATTTTTATGGATTCAGACATTTCTAGTGATAATTTTTATTTGGTCAATGGTGTGTTAATTTACAGTTCTGTAATGTGTATACGGTACTATAAATCTTGAGCCATTTTCATTTTGTTGTGAACCAATTGTAAAGATAACACTGTAGAAGTACTTATGCAAGCTAACACTTTTTTCTTTGTGCAGGAATCATACTGTGATGTGACTCTGGCGTGTGAAGGAAAGTTTTATCCTGTGCACAAGCTGGTGCTTTCCACTTGTAGTGAATATTTTGAAGAAATTTTTAATAGAACTCAGTGCAAGCATCCTGTGATAGTGTTGAAAGATGTGAAACATGAGGAGCTCGAAGCTCTACTCAATTACATGTACTTAGGGGAAGTGAATGTGCTGCAGGCAGACTTAGCTGGACTAATAAAAGCAGCAGAGTGCCTGAAGATAAAGGGCTTAGCAGTGCCAGATGAAGCTCCCACATCCAGAAGTGCCAATAAGGACAAGCGGAGTGCTAGTATTAGAGACATTAGTCCACCACATTCAAAAAGGGCGAGACAGGAGGATGGGTCCTCTTTGCATAACCAAAGCTTTGAGGACTCTAGACCTCCAAGAGAACATTCATCCAGAGAGTCTAGGGAGAACACGCGTACAAATGCAGCTCGGCCTCCCTCTCGTGCCTCAGACGAGGGCTTCTCCAATACTCCTTTCTCCCAATCCGGTCCTAGTCAAGACAATAGTAGAGAAAAGAAGGATATGAGAGAACGCCCATCTGACACAGACAGAGGGAGAGGAGATAGACAAAAAGACATGCCACCTGCATCATCCCCTAGTCAAAATGTAGAGGTGAGGCTTTTTTAAGTGTACTGTATTCTACATTGTTTTATTTTATGGCTGTTGTCTTATAAATTTCCTTATGAGAGTATGATCTCGTTTATATGGTCCAATTTGTATTTCCAAATGTTTGTGATTACTGTAACTGAAAGTCTAGGTAATTGATTGAAATCTGATCCAGATTTTGAATGATATCCAGCTTTCTGAGAATGTCTTTTTTTGTCTACAGTATTTATTATCAAATTTTGTGTATTTCTCAGTATTGTTTGTTGTATATTAGTCTTGGTAGTATAGTTGGGTTTGTTATTGATTCACAGTTGAGAATTCTGAGTTCGAATCCCAGGTGGGACAGAAATGGTTGGGTGCATTTCTTATTACCTAATGCCCCTATTCGCCTAGTAGTAAATAGGTACCCCAGGAATTAGTTGTCATGTTGTGCAATTGTGACCTGGGGGGGGGGGCCTTGATATAAGCCTAACATGTGTAAATATATATACTGTATATGTATACAGTATGTACTGTATACACTGGCTGCTTGTCTCCCAACACAATGAATTTTAATTATTTATATGAAACTTAAAAATGAAGCTTTTCCAAGGCACCAACTGTTTCTCTGAATGTTGCCTTCAAAAATAGTGATGAAACCCATATGAAGTTGCCATGTATAACCTAATATTTTCCAAGCTCTATGGGCTCGGTTCACTGATCAAATTTTTTATTTCAATATCATGGTGGACAGGAACAAGGAGAACTTGTTTGTAGAGAGATTTCACCACATCTAGCTTACATCCCATGCCCCAGCCTTGAAATGCTTTGCATATTAGTGGTTTTATGCCATATACATTTCTTACCTACCAATTCGCAACCGTTTCATGTATCAAATGTGTGTGTTATATGAGAACCTGTTTAGAATTTTCAAGTTAGCAGGGCTCATCCCTGGATGAACAAAAATCACACCAACTCAAAATAAAAATGAACCATAGATTTTTGTATAAATATGCTCCGTGGCTTTCACAAAACTCTCATTGTTTTCTTAGTGTTCTAGTCATCTATAAATTAAAAAAAAAAAAAAGAAACATTATAGCCATATTAAAAGGAGTTACCAATTATACCCTAATATTTCCCATGCTCTTCAAACAAATTTCACCAAAAGAAATTTATATTTTAGCCAATCATGTGATGGACAACTACCAGGAGAATCTGTCTGTAGAGAGATTTCTCGCTCATTGCTAGTACTGTATTTCTAAAGATCCAGCCCCTTAGTTTTCTTATTTTTATAGCTTATTTTTCAAAGGTAGGCCCATACCACCTATACTCCTGCTTTGATAGTACATTTTGTAACTGTGTTCAATCAAAACAATATGGTAATGGACCCCAGTAACCCACTTTCTGTATTACCTGTTTATTTTTACTAGACTATAAAAAAAATAAGTTTAAAAAAAAAACTGAAATATTCTTAGGCCTAGTATAGCTCATATAGTATATACTGTACCTGATTTACCTCGTTCACCTGAGGACCACTAACCCTAGTGGCCTCGATGAGGACAGGAAGCTGGCGGCTTGTTGAAGGTCTCTTTCCCCCCCCCCCCCCATTTGCCTTTTATCTTTTCCTGGTATATATTTAAACTCAACTTTTTAAATACTATATATGTACTATATTAGGCCTCAGATAGTGTGTATTAGGCCTAGGATGGTTAGGTTAGGTTTTATTAGCAACTTAAATAAAGAACTTAACAATTTGTCCAAATTCAGTACAGTACTATAATAGTCTGCTTTCTGCTGGTCCATCTCGACATATTTGTACTTTCGACCACAGCATTACTATAAGTACTGGACTTTCATTTTAGGAAGATATGCTGGGCCATGACACTAAATGAACCACCCAGTCGACTTTCTCATGCCTAAATTACATTCTTAAACCAAGATGTGTTATGAAATATCTTGGGAACTTTCTTTCAATAAATAATTGGGATATATGGCTTCATAATTATATTTAGAGTAAAATGTCTGGCATTTCCACTGACCTAAACTTTATAACAAATTTGATCTGCAGGAAATTTTTTTGTATAATTATCTGGATTTCACAGGGAATTGGGATTTTTTTCTGATAGGAAATATAGTAGGGAGATTCCTTGGCCAAATGTGGTCCATTGTTTGGTCTCTACCCCCATGTGCGTTCCCCCCCCCCCCCTCCCCATCTGATTCACTCTCCATCTCTTAAAGGGATTTGTTGTTTAATTAAAAGGGATCAATTATAGACAGGTTTGGATTGGAGAGGTGCCTCTGTAGGCATTTTTCTGCAATATTTGTTATTTATTTTAAGACATGTTAAAAATGCCTGCAGTGGTTAAGTTCACTGTTGGTGTTTTAATAGGCACCAATGTATAAGTACATCAATTAAATATTTATTTGGCATAAATGTGTTCCCTGCTGCCAAATTGCTTAGACTTGATGGATAATGATGGTTAACCTCCAATAATCTGTAAAGTATTATGTATGTACTACAGTGTATGTATATTTATGTATATATATGTGTATGTAGGCATCTTTATGTATCTGTATTTGATCTATGCATGCATGCATTTTCTTTTATTTTTTATTTGTATTTTTTGTTAGCAGTCTTTTAGACATGTATTATTGAAAATGACAGAAAGGGTGAGATCAGTGATTCTAGCACAAATCTAAATTTTTCTTGTTTTTCTTCACTTGAAGAAATTTGAAAAATTAACTCCCAAAGTTTATTTTTACAATTTAATGAAGGCCTGTTGCTAAGAGATGTCAACATTATCAAAGGCAGAGTTTGAATGGTTGAAAGTTTTTGTGCTTATGGATATATAGGCATGGGATAATGGTGAAGCACCTCACTGTTTGTGCCAATAGGCCCCATTGTTGTTTACCATGTTTGTGGCCATCGGTACTATGATTGGTACAATGGGGTACTGTGATTGGCCAATGTGACCAATCCAAGCAGAATGTGTGGACTTCCATTTTGATTGCTACACCTTTGTTGGTGTGTGTGTGTGTCTGACAAAGATAGGCTTGAGTAACAGGATGTATTAAAATTGGCAGAGTAGTTGACAAGTGTTGAAGTTCAAGTTCAACTCCATTTTTTCATACGTTTATTTTAGTCAATTATCACATAGTGCCTAAATAATCTCTGATTCTGTTCTGCTATACTGATGTAGAAAGCATAGCTAAATTTCTAACTAGAACTGAATGTTGTACTGCCTCCATGTTCATTTTTGTGACTCCAGACACTGGCGGTCTGGACTCTCCATGCAATTCTGACTGTAAACGTTCTGGGTTTCCTGGGCTGCTCTCAGGCCACTCAGCGATGGGAAAAATGTTTACAATCATTTTACGTTTTCTAAGTTATTTGTTAGCTTATTACTATATATTTTGTGTAAAAATGTTTTCAAATGAATTCTCTTGAGAATAGATGCAAAAGCAAGTGTAATTGTAATTGTGTAACAATGATGAATACATGAATGTTTATGAACAGCAGTTGGATGACATGTTTAAATGTCATTAGAATGGAAAAGTGCTAAGTAACTAGTAGAGATGCAATTGATATGCATGTTAGTGCAAGCACTAACTACAGCTCCTCAACCCTTCTTGTGTTGAGTTGTGAACAACTGTAAGCAAGCCCAAGTGTGCGTGCTTGCAGGTGCTGTGATAGTTTTTAGCATTGCAAAGTTGTCAAAGTTTAATTATAACGAATATAATTTGTTAATTTTTTTTTTTACTATTTAAAATTGTATTTTGTATTTCATAGGTACTTGTCCACGATGAAACTATAGTCAAGACTGAAGTGTTAGAGGAACCAAAAGAGGAAGAGGCAAATAGTGAAGACATGATGAACTCTGACAGTAGTATAGCATACAATCCACTCACTCCTGCCATGCAAGGTATGGATTGTCCTTGTTAAAATTGAGGTTGTTAGATTCTTTCTTTGTCCTCTCTTATCAGGCTTCTCATTCTCCTTCCTCTATTTACTCTCCTCCCTCTTATTCTTTCTTTTCATCCTCCTCCATTTCCTTACATTTTTTAAATGTTTTCCTCTTTCTCCTTTATACAAAGGAATGATATTTTTGTGTTTAAGTTTATTGGAATACAGTACTGTATAATTATGTATTTTACTTGTATTTTTTCAGGTGATGGTGTGTCTGAAGGTCCGCAGGGTTTTGAGCCACAGGGCCTAACATCAGGCACACAGCCACAGACAATGGAGGAGCTTGTTGCACAGGCTATGCCGGGAACCTCTGGAATACAGGGAGTGAGTACTCTTTAATTTGTGGCCTTGTACCTTATATCTGGGGTGAGTCGGGGCTAAGGATGGGTGTTTACCTTTGAAACCTTCTCTATGGGGTACAGAACATGTATGCAGAAATTGGAGAGTAAAAAATACAATAGGATTTTGAATACAATTTTTTTTTATTTTCTGTAACCCAGGGGCCTACATAATTTTAATCCGGCCCCAAGTAGAGGCATTAAGCTGACACTCTAAGCTGTCAGATTAAGCTGATTAAGCTAGGGAAGATGGTATACTGCATATACTGCATCATTCGGTGAACCAAACAATTAATCACTTGAACTTTGCATACATACCAGTGACAAGTTAATAGGGTAAATATCAGCAAATTAACATTTTTGGGAAAACACTTGTCGTCAATATTTTTGACATGGGTATGTGTTATGAGAGTTATAAGAATATATTTTGATTGACAAAGTAAGGACGTTTAAAATGACAAATTTTGGGTTTTATTTCTTTCAGGCAGATGTGTGATTTTTGAAGCTGGTCTTTCCTACCAGTGTTTAAATCCTATTTCTGAATGACATTCCCAGACAGGATAACAGCAAAGGAGTGGGTTGCAAGACACTGTAACCCACTGCTGTTCCAGGAAGTTGTTTACGGGCAATGTAGGTGTACATTGTAGGCTTGTATACATTACTCAGTCTGCTTGTCAATTACCAGTATTTGTATATAGTTATTCCATTCGGCCTAATCTAAAGTGAAACAATGGATATGTGAACAGGCTAGCTTAAGGTGGCAGAGTTAACTTTAGAATGTTTCTTTAATATTTAGTCTTTAAAATAGCTTAAATTACATGCTCTCAGTGTTTGTGCAGTTTAACAGAATTTTTCTATATACAGTACTGGCACTCAAACTGTATTCAAACGTTGCATTCACACACCACCTCATATCCACAGATTTAACAACTCTGTACCATTATCATATATAGTGATTAGATCCTTACAATTGCATAATGTGAATAGCTACTGTTTTTTGTGAAGTTCAACCCTCGAGTAAAAGTGAGCCTAGCACTTCAGCAGCTCATTTGTAACACTTCTTCCTACCTCTACACCTATGGCATTGTCTTAACCTTGAAGTGTGTGTCTGATCAAAATTGTTACCTCAGTTTTGCATAGAAAAAATTATCTTTTAGTAGAAATAGAAAAGAATAGGAAAAAAACCCTGGCGTTTAGTGAGGGACTCATTGGGTCCTTCAATTGTTGATACCAGTTTTTGTTGACTTTTAGTGAAGGGCTCAAGGTCTCTCATGTTCATGTTTGAGGGGATTTATTCGCTGCTTCACTTTAGTTTACACAATGAAAATTTGTAACTGGCATGGCTCAAAGACAGTGTCTTGCAACCCACTTCTTTGTTGCTATTCAGTCTGGTAACGTTGTACTGAAATATTCAACCACTGGCAAGAAAGACCAAATTGAGAATACTGTAGTTGATAATCACTGCATGGTAAGCAAGTAAAACTATTCTGTAACATAATTTTCTCATGTCTTAGTTAACTCCATTTCGTTCATATAATGTATTATAACTATGTAAATAATTGGACACTTAACTAAAATCGGCAGAATGACTATAACCACAGTGATCCAGGGATTCTAGCCTTTAAGAGTTGTGAGGATTAAAATAATAAAGTATAGCATTTTCCCCCCCAAGATGTATGCCTCCTAATACATATCCTCAGTTCAGTAACTTGTATGTTCTTGGGCTGAACTCCTGTAGATTTGGTACAAATCCTTGAACAGATATTGTCCTGTGCACTGTTCGGTTTGAATGGGAATGTATTAGGTGTAAATTTGTATTTTGCGTTAAAAACGAGCTTAATTGTGCATATAATATTTAAATACTCAAAATATAAATATACTTGTGATGTTTCTTAATTAAAGTAACTACCCAGTAAATATAAAAACAAAAAAATGTTAGAAAACAATAATATTTGTGCTTTTTAAGATGTGCAATTACATTGTTACCCTCAAATGGGGGGGGGGAGGTGTTTCTAAGGAATTGACAAAATTATGTATCGAACTTTGAAAATTGCAATAACCTTTCACAAAAATATTAAAAAGTAGAACCTTGCATATTTGGATTTTAGATGAATCATCCATGCCAGTAATACAGTAGTGCCTATCAGGTGAAAATTCCATTAAACCCTAATGGAAACAAAAGACGGTTTTAGAAGTTAAGCACAAACAATAATTTGAGATTTAAATCTTCTCAAAAATGCAGTGTCAAAATCCCTTAAAAAAATTACTTCTGATATTGTTTCCAATGAATTGGAAACAATCTTTAATACCTTTAATCTGATTGTTTTAAGTTTTAATTGAAAATAATAGTGGGCAACTAACCAGTGTAGTTGATATTTTGAATGTTGTCATTGGTAATAATAATAATAATAATAAAGAATAACATACTTAGACTTGATCGATTTTTTTCAAATAAAGTTTAAAATTAAACTACAAAGCTAGGGTTTCTTGCTATGCAAAACTAGAATTAGCAAAAATAAAAAGTTTGGAAATGAACTTAGTTCTGTTAATTTGTAGTTGGAGTTCATGTTGACAGAGTTCTGCTGCCACATCCCTTCAGGTCATGCTTCCTTGAGTCCCTGTAAGGCCATGACTTTTTCCCGTACTCTGGTGCCTTCTGCCCTTCTAGGTTTGGCTTTCCTCTCTGCTAGTTGCTCCTGCCTTTTCCTCCCCCCCCTCCCCCTCCCTTCCCCACCTCTTGATAGGTTCTGCCTTTCCCCACCCTGTTGGTAGATCCTGCCTTTTTCCAACCTCCCTGCTAGTAGATCTCTCTCCCATTCCTGCTAGTAGGTTTTGGCTTTTGCCCCGTCTCTGCCAATAGGTCCTATCTCCCCTCTTCCCTGCTACTAGTAGGGCCTGTTCTTTCCCCTCTTGCTTGTAGGTCCTGTTCTTCCCTCTTGCTTGTAGGTCCTGTTCTTCCCTCTTGCTTGTAGGTCCTGTTCTTCCCCTCTTGCTAATGTTTGCTTTCTCACCTGCTAGGTTTTGCATCATTTTCCTCTTCCACTGAAGGTCCCTTCAGTTTCTGTCATCACACGGGGGGCCAGGCAGCCGAGTGGACAGCACTTCGGATAAGTAGTCCTGAGGTTCCGGGTTCGATTCCCGGTGAATGCGGAAACAAATGGGCAGTTTTTCACCCTGATGCCCCTATTACCTAGCAGTAAATAGGTACCTGGTAGTTACAGATGCTACGGGCTGCTTTGTGGGGGTGTGTAATAAAAAGGAGGCCTGGTCGAGGACTGGGCCACGGGGACGCTAAGCTCCGAAATCATCTCAAGATAACCTCAAGAATACTGCTTGATCCAAGCCTCTTCTCTTCCCTCCCTCCCCTCCCTCCCCTCCCTCCCTTCATTTCCCCTTTCCCAGCTAGGTCCTGCTCATTACAACAGCATGTACAGTACTCGACAAAATCCTAGCACAGGTACTATATTCTTTACATTTGCTTAGCTTCTTATATCTCCTGTACTCATTACGTCACCTTGTTTGTATCATGGGATATGCTGGCCTGGTGATACCTATCTCAATTGTGCTCATCACATTAAAAAATGTGAACCTTATCGCTGTTTTCTTTACCTATATGTAATTTAATTCCACAGTGAATTTTCATGTTCTGCTAATAATCTTTAATAATACAGTTTCTTTGTTTCCTTCAGACTGACACTACGTGCAGTTTCAGCATAATATTAGCTTTAGTGTTGCACTTTATGTGCACCTTTGTTAATGCAACTGTTAATTAATCTTTACAGGACTCGATGGTTGGGTGGGGTGCAGGGCAAGCAGGTGGAGGAGCTGGGGGAGACCTCTCAAGGTTTTCCCTGGAAGCCTTTCAGCTGGACGATTCACAAAGTGGATCTCAAGGCTCGACTCAGCAACAGCTGGTGAGTGTTAACCTTCTGTTGTGTTATTCTGCCCATCTGAAGCTGCAGGAAATGATACAGTAATGTAAAGTGCAGTTAGAGAATTCATTTAAAATTATATTTGACATCACTATACTGTATTACCATATATATATTAAGAAAGCTTGGGTACACAGTGAATTTCCTTAAATATTTTATTGGCATAAGGGGTCATTCCATGACGGATCATGCAGTGCCCAACAACACTTCCTTCCAGTTTTCCTGTTAGTTGATCTGTACTTTTGTCGTTACTCAGAAACTCAAAACTCCAAATTTCAGATAAATCCAACTTTTGGTTCAAAAGTTCTTCCCCTCTTCCTATTTTAGGGGGTTTGCAAGAACATCCTCATTTCAGATTCATCTGGTTCTGGTTCAAAAGGTAATCTTTTTAAATATTAAATTTATATTGTTACGAGGGCAACTAAAAATTGATGTAAAAAATGTTATGGCTTTTTTTATTTTTAAGGATAGCTCAACCCCCTCCCACAAGGTAATCAATATTATCAAAAATTTCATATTGGAGTCAAGACCAACCATGTGAAAATTGTGAACATTTGGTTTTAAATCTTGCAAATGAATATTCATTATTTGAATATTAGCAAGTTGACTGAAAAGGGTGAAAAATAATCAATGTACGAATGGACTTAATGAATTGAAGATATATCCCATATACAGTATATATTTGTGTTTAGTTCATTTCAGTTAGGTTAGTAAATGAATTAAGTAGGTCAAACTACATTATATATGAATATATACATACAGACAGACTACTTTTAATATTTCACCCTATTTTAATAACTTTTTCATACATGTTCAACTAAATTGATCTCTTTTGGATGAAAAGAATAAGCATTTCTAACACCTGTAAGAATATTTGGATTGGACATTGGTTGAATATCATCATCTTATTTCACTCAGAAAATATCTTGGCTTTCTGGTAAACTATGTATTTGGTTCTCCTGAAGATCTTGGACAACTATTTTAGAATCACCAAATTCTTCTGAAATCTCCACATGATTATTCCGAACCATATTTTGCTATCATACCTACAGGCAATGTATTGTTCATTTTTTGTTTTAAGGTATTCTACTTATTCTGGTCAATTTACTGTAAATACTGAATAATGTTCCGAGTTAGAAGTTTGGTAAGCCTCTACATAAGTCTTGGACTTGGTAATTATTTTATGACAGTTTCTTGTTCCCTTCACTGGAATGGCTTCATAGAAGCTATTGAACAGTTGTGGTTTGTTTCCACCTCATTTCATAGTTCCTTTAATGCCGTCACATTGTGTTCTTATCATAACTTGTCACAAAAAAATGCCAATCTTTTTGAACACCAAAATATTCATGACTATAGATTTATAGAATTGTAACAATTCTTATAATGCCCACCACAGTCATCAGAATAGCGAGTAATTTTTCACATTAGGGAACCTTTCTTTGGTAGCTTTATGCTTGTCAGCAGTATAGAGTTAGTGTTGAAGTTGAGGTTTCAAGACAATCGATGATAATACAATAACCACTATGTATCAATTCTCCATCTTTATAATATACTGTACTACATATTGATGTAGTGTTGCCTGATAGTTTTTCCAATGAAAACATTTAAGGGACATCCTGTGTGATGAAGGAATAGTTTTCTGATATATTCCCATGAACAAGCATCATTGGATTGTAGAATCTTCATTGGATTGTAGATTCTTTGCTATTCTTCACCTGTTAACTCTGATATTTTTCAGTATATTTCTGATTTGCGAGGGGAAAAATTATATCTGAAAGAATTGCAATGAAAATAATCAGTTGTTGCTCTATGCATTTCCAGAGTTGATTGACTAGTGATAGTCCATTAAAAATATTTTGCAATATATCTATTTATCAATAAAGTATTGATATTGTATACAATAAGTCAGCAACACCTTTATTACCAGGACAATCCCGGTAATAATGCAGTGTGCACTTTGAATTGATGACAATAGAAACACATTACCTTCACTGCATACTGTGTCAACCCTTTCCTGCTAGTTATAGAAACCATGAGCTTTGGATTATGGTAATATTTGTGCACAAACTGAGTGTGGTCCTTTGCCCCCAGCAGTGACACACTGTTTGTCTTAAATTTGCATATCTATATCTTATAATTGTTTTAAGTTACAGTACCCAGTAAGAGGTACTATTGTTTTTATTATACCTGTACTCCTTTTCATCAGCATCTTTATTTTTTACTCATGCACTCTGATTTACCTGCACTGATCTGACTTTGTTATCCCCATAGGAAGCTGTTACAGTATTTGTAATAATTCATTTCTTAACTTTTTCAGTCAACTTGCCAGTATTCAAATAAATATTTACAGGATTTACAACCAGATACTCGGCAATTTCTAGATTGCCACTTGTACATGTATGGTTTGTCTTGACTCTAATGTGAGTTTTGAAAATATTGATTACCTAGGGGTTGAACCCCCTACTAAAAAATAAAAATGGCCATAACTTTTTTTTTACATAAATTTAAGTGTTCCTCGTAATAGTATCTACTTAATATTTTAAGGATTGCCATCTGAAAGCAGTTTGAATCGCTCTTTTAGCTCAATTAAGAGCCAAGATAGATGAATTTGAAAATTGGGTATTCTTGTGAACCCCCCAAAATGGGGGGGGGGCCTAATTTTTTAACCAAAAGTCACATTTATCTGAAACTTGGATTTTGGTATTTTTTTTTAGGTAAAGACAAAGATATAGACCAATTTGCAGAAAAATTGAACAGGGTGTGGTGTTATTTTCACTTATGTTATGCATGATTTTGAATATGAATAAATCATTAAGCATTTCCTGGAGTTTTGTTTGGATGAAGATATGCTACAGGGATCAATATAAGGCCATTTTCTGTCTGCTGAATGTTCAGTTTTGGTTAATTATATTTGCACAGCTACTGCTTTGTCGTGAGCTGTTTGATCTTTGCATTATGATACAGTATAATTCTAGACAGAATAGCCTTTTATATGATTTTAAACAGTATTTTGGAATGAAGGAGTCTTATTATATGGAATTATTTTTTGGAATACCATTTGGAAAGTTAAGGATGACCAATATCTGGAAAATTGAAAATTATGCATATGAGCATCACTGAGAGTGAAATGGTGAAATACTAATACCAATAATGGTATTATTGGGATTCACGGTTAACATTTGTTCTGCTGTGAAGATGATTCCACATGACAGTACTTGAAAATATATGTTTGGAAATTTGAAGCAAGTCTGTAAGTTTGGCTACGTTTGGCAGCAGCAGAGAAGGCGTGCAGATTGGATCAACCGGCATATAGCTTAAATCAAATAGATTTATTCGCTTCATACTCTGAGTTTTTATAAATACTGTACTGTATTTTATTTTACACTTAGTTATTTTTATTTTTCCTCAAAATAATCCCTGGAGCATATCTCTTGCAGTTATTTTATTAAATTTTATATATGTATTTGATATATGTTATGACATGGTATGAATTAGGCGAGACAGCTGGAAAAAGACACATCTACACCTGTGCACACACATGGACCCTGCCCAGCTCCCTTTATCTTATTCACCTCCTCACCTCTCCCCCCCCCCCTCACCTCCCCCCCCCCTCACCTCTCCCCCCCCTCACCTCACCCCCCCCCCTCACCTCTCCCCCCCCCTCACCTCTTCCCCCCCCTCACCTCTTCCCCCCCCTCACCTCTCCCCCCCCCTCACCCTTCCCCCCCCTCCCCTCCCCCCCCCCTCACCTCTCCCCCCCCCCTCACCTCTCCCCCCCCCTCACCTCTCCCCCCCCCCTCTCTCTCCCCCCCCCCTCACCTCTCCCCCCCCCTCACCTCTCCCCCCCCCCCCCCCCCTCCCCCCCCCCCCCCTCACCTCTCCCCCCCCCCTCACCTCTCCCCCCCCCCCCCCCCCCCCCCCCCTCACCCCCCCCCCTCACCTCTCCCCCCCCTCACCTCTCCCCCCCTCACCTCTCCCCCCCCCCCCTCACCTCTCCCCCCCCTCACCTCTCCCCCCCCCTCACCTCTCCCCCCCCCCTCACCCTCCCTCTCCCCCCCTCACCTCTCCCCCCCTCACCTCTCCCCCCCCTCACCTCTCCCCCCCCTCACCTCTCCCCCCCCTCACCTCTCCCCCCCCCTCACCTCTCCCCCCCCCCTCACCTCTCCCCCCCCCCTCACCTCTCCCCCCCCCTCACCTCTCCCCCCCCCTCACCTCTCCCCCCCCCTCACCTCTCCCCCCCCCTCACCTCTCCCCCCCCCTCACCTCTCCCCCCCCCTCACCTCTCCCCCCCCTCACCTCTCCCCCCCCCCTCACCTCTCCCCCCCCCTCACCCTCCCCCCCCCCCTCACCTCTCCCCCCCCTCACCTCTCCCCCCCCTCACCTCTCCCCCCCCTCACCTCTCCCCCCCCCCTCACCTCTCCCCCCCCCTCACCTCTCCCCCCCCCTCACCTCTCCCCCCCCCCCCCCCCCCTCACCTCCCCCCCCCCTCACCTCTCCCCCCCACCCCCCCCCTCCCTCCCCTCCCCCCCCCTCACCTCTCCCCCCCCTCACCTCTCCCCCCCCTCCCCCCCCCCCCTCACCTCTCCCCCCCCTCCCCCCCCCCCCTCACCTCTCTCACCTCTCCCCCCCCTCACCTCTCCCCCCCTCACCTCTCCCCCCCCCTCACCTCTCCCCCCCCCTCACCTCTCTCCCTCCCCTCCCCTCACCTCTCTCCCTCACCTCTCCCCCCTCTCTTCCCTCACCCTCTCCCTCACCCCCTCCCTCACCCTCTCCTCACCCCCCCTCACCTCTCACCTCCTTCCCTCACCTCCTCCCTCACCTCTCTTCCCTCTCCCTCACCTCTCTTCCCTCACCTCTCTTCCCTCACCTCTCTTCCCTCACCTCTCTTCCCTCACCTCTCTTCCCTCACCTCTCTTCCCTCACTTCTCTTCCCTCACTTCTCTTCCCTCACTTCTTCCCTCCCTTCCCTTCTCCCCTCTACC